TTATTTAAAACATTGTTATGCCGCCCCCATCGCAACAAAGCCTCAGGGCGGCTCACAACATGGTCTTTTTAAAAATCCACACACAGAATAAGCATGCTCCGCACAGGCCAGAGGCAGCTTTCTGAGTGCAGCAGTATCAACTGCTATCAGCATTTTCGTAGGAGAAAGAAAGAAGCTTCCAGGTTTTAAATGTTTTAACGCAAGTTGTTCCTGCTCTCCTAAGAAGAAATTTCTGGATGTATTTTTCTGCAAAAACTAAGTTTCCTGATGCTGCCCTCGCCTCCCCAGCATAAAACAGAAGCACTGGAACTTTTGATTTTGAAATGTTCTCTTTCACAGTAAGCAAAACACATTTTAAAGCAGTATTTAAAATATTTGCTGCAGTCAAATGTCTCCGCCATCAAGATCCATATGCAGTAACAGTAGCAATTACAATATTATAAATATTGCCACTGCGTAGGACTGGATTATTAAATACATAGCACTCTTGGGCCCTGTTCAAGTGTTACGAGCGCAGATTACCAGGTATTTGGTGCAACAGTATAATTTAGGAATCTGCCAAACACACTGCTCTTATAACAAGCTGGCAACGTTTGTGTACAACGCAACACAAAGTCTGACTGTTTCTTTTCATTTGCCTTTTTCACAGAAACTGATGAATGTCAACACACATGCAATGATGGAAAGATAATCATGCAAAACTTGAAAAAAATTATCCATTCTTTCTGTGTATGGATGTCTTCAACTTTTTCAAGTCTATGAAGTTCAAAAGCAAAATAGCTTTCATACACCGATTCTATAATTACATTTAAATTAAGCCAGTTGCATTTAAGCTCTTGACAGAAATGGAACAAGATGCTAATAAATTTAGGACAGCCAGCTTTTTCTATAATTACTAGGACACTTAGCAGTCCAGGCTTATGCATCTGTACTCAGAGGTAAGTCCCAGCGAGTTCAACCGTTCACTGCACAGGATTGTACCTTTGCTGGGTATAAGTCTGATATTCTACTGAAGAGTTTAATAAACACTTAATAGAATATGCCAGTGTATCCCTCATAATTAGTACAGGGATCTTTAGATCTATAAAAATGGGTGTTTTCTCATTTAAGTAATAAATGTTGTTCAAGAACCAAACACATCACAAGCATTACAACCATACTGCAGTTACAGTGATTTCAAAAATTACTAGAAGTATCAGAAATAATCTACAAATAGATAACTATATGACTATTTAGAGTGTTTTGTTAAAATTTGGGCAATTATTTTTAATGCCTATAGTATATTCAGTTATATACAAACATACAGAACTACATGATACTTATGCAGTTAGTGCTATGGATCGTTATACACTGTATTGAAAATTCATAGTATTTCTGTTTTGTTCCTTTTTCTTTTTTAATGACGTGCAAGGGGGAAGAGGGTTGTTCTAATTGCTCAAGAAAAATATTTTTTAAGAAACATAAACTCTTTGCCAAGCCCTAAAATGTTGTTCTAAGATGTCGTTTTCTCACCTGACAAAAGTTAAGGTATCCTTGTAGTGCCACAGTAAACATATATACTCAGAAATAAATTCCACTGAGTTTAGCAGGGCTCACTCAACCAGTACTTTAGGTACCAGCAACTTGCAACTCACTCTCACACATAACAAGCCTATTTTAACAATTGTCAGGAAACACCTCAGTATTTATACTGTTGTGTTGCTTATGTATGCCAGAACAGCACAATTTTATGTGCTAAGTTATGCAGAATATACGTTCTTGAAGTACTTTTAACAGGCTCAGGTTTGAATAAAGGATCTATTTCAATCCCCCAGCCATGTGTGCACAAATACGATTTTTTTCTGCCCCAGACTTGCTTCTGCTTTAGCAGACATGCGACTCCTCATTCTATTTGATACGCTGGGGAAGACCCTTACTCCTCTCTTCCCCTGGGTAAGACTGCCAGTTATTGCTAATTATCAGGAAGAAAACACGGATGTAAAAATGAAATACTAAGCTATTTCATCATCCCTCAAAGCCTTACTCCTCAGCAATATGCAGGCTTGCTATTCTTAGGAAATGGGCTCAGCTTGTGTCCCTGCTTCTAATTTACATGTCCTTTGGTATGCAAAACTGGTTTCGGGGTGTGAACCCTACTAAGGCTGAAGGCCTTTGGTTCCAAGCGCTTTAGCATAATGCCAGGTGCTTCTCCCAATGCGCATTCCAACAGCAGTAATGGTAGGACACCTTGCCTGCCACTGGGCACTAACTGTGGCTGGCTTCCTGCTTCACCTATCGCCCCTCCAGAGCATGACCTTGCACTGACCTACTGTGGATGCTGGATCTGCACTGTAAAGTAATCTCATCATGACACAGCCACCGGCTTACATAAACCTTACAGCATGCAGGCCTTCCCTGCTTGCTTATCTTTCTCCACACCATTTCCTTTGCCCCACCCTATCGCTGGTCTCCAGAGACACTGCTAAGTCTAAAAAAAAAAAGAGAGAGTTGCTGTTAATGGTAGGATTACCCCCATACACCCATGAGGGCAGTTATCCTCAGGTGCATACAGATACAGGTGCTTTTGGAAGCACACAGCCTAGAAGGCCTTCAGGGAAGTTTGACAAGGTTACCCCTCAACTTTGCAGGCGGGAGAGAAGGAACGTGAACAGTAACGTGGCAGCCATTAGGCTCTGGTCCAGGGACTTTTCCCTCAAGTTCAGGACCTGTTCCCAGAGCCATAACTGTAACTGGTGCCAGCAGAAGGATTCTTCACATTTTAATTGGCATGCAGGGGGCCAGCTCAAATCCTCCCTTGCCCATCACCTAAACTTAGAAAAAAGATGCCCATCCTTCGAGTACGGGGGGGGGGTGGTAGAGAAGCAAGCGGGGGAGAGCGCGAAAAGGAGGAGTAAGTTTTTGCTCTTCTAAGCAGCCCAAGGAGGACATCCTTCTCTGGGGCCCTAGACAAGCCTGAGATCCCAGCCGTGCAAGAGCTGGGTGTTACGGCTCTTCCTGATCTTTGTGTTTCTCCCTGTCCTGGATTGTGGCAGAGATTTAAGGCACAGTGGGGGACTTCCTGGCCTGCCCTACTTGTGTCTTCATCCCCCTGTGCAGGCTGGGGTTTCAGGGAAAATCCTGAACCATGACCTCAAGCAGACACTCTCATAATTCCGAAGCAGAGGAATAGCAGCGGCTATTCATCTATTCCCTTTCTTCCTCCTCCTTTTTCCAGGCTTCCTCAGTCCCCTCCTGCCCAGTTCTAGCTTCTTCCCCTTTTTCTGATTCCTACACCCACCAAACATGCCTGCACTTCCTTCCAACCATCCATTCACACAACATCAATCAGTGATGAGAGAGATCCTTTTAAGAGGAGTCAATTTCAATGACTGCAGTAAAAGTAGTTTCCTCCTTAGTGTTTCTCAAAAATAAGAGAAGCGAGGGGGGTTCAGGGGGAAATGCCATGGGCTGGCCGCAGTTCATGTTTCTGAGGTCCCTCTTTTCTCCATTATGTTCTAGCTTAACATTCAGCTTCCAAATACTTATTCCATGAACTGAGATTGTTCCTTAATAGTTCTGTGTAATTGCGCCTTATAATTGTTTGTTCCCTATAATTAATTTCTCTTTGTAATTCAGTCACTGTAAGATAGATATAAAGTGATAAACATTGTTGTTTTTAATTATATTTCTAAAATAGCTATACTTCTTTGTGCTGCTAAATTACAAGTCTCAAACATTTAAGTGATGTGGACGTTCTGTATATAATCAGAGGCTAATATTTTAATTCGAAAGAAAGAAAGGAAGGAAAGAAGGAAGGATGGGAGGAAACAGAGCTGTAACATGTCTGAAAACAATGTCATCTGTCTTAGAAATCCTAGTTCAAAACTTGATCCCATGTGGTAGGATTGTCTATTGGTTACTTGGTTTTAAAGACATAAGCAAAGGGTTTGTTTTGTTTTGTTGTTGTTTTTTTTTGCAGTCCTAGAACAAGTTAACTTATCAAGAACAGTACTACATAGGATGATATACATATACTACCACTAAGCAAGCACTAGTCCTGTTAGGGATGGGAACAGTCACCCTTGGCTGCAAAGCCCCAATCTGATTTAATTTCTGTAAACATTTGCCAGCTACTTAAGAAACACTCACTTTAGGGAAAGAGAGCAAATTCCTTCTTTGAAATCTCAGAGTTATGCACCGAGTGCCAAATCTTTTCTTCCTGTTGCCCTTCTTTCCAATCCTGTGCACTGTCAGAACCACGTGTCCCCCTTCTTTAGCTTCTGATGAGAGTGCGTTTCCAAAGGAAAAAATACATTCACATCAGGGTTCCCCCCCCCCTCCACAGAGCTGCCCCCGCCGCGCTGCCGGCGAGCACAGGATCATGAAAGCGAATCTGCCGCAAAAATCCAAGACCGTGCATTTCTATCGCCGCAAGTCTGGCATCGCCCTTTTCAATCCGCCGGCCGCTCGCGCGTGTGCCAGTCGTCTGGGGGCATGACCTGCTGGTACCTCAGTTCATCCAGCGGCTGCAGCGCAGCAAACGTTAAATATAGACGCGCGCGGGCCAGCTAGGAAAGCCCCCGCTCCCACCGGGAAGCGGCCTGAAATGCGCTCGAGCCGGCGCAGCCACGCAGCGCCGCTCCGGGTCAAGCGGGGTTCTCCAAACGCGTCGCCGGTCTGCGGGGACGAGCCCGGGGCGCACCGGCGGAGGGAGCGCGCACAGCCGGGCACAGGCTTCGCGGCTCCGGGCGCGGCGGCTGCGGCAGAGGGCGCGAGCCCCGCCAGGCACGGCACGGGACGGACCGGGCCGAACCGCGTCCCTCCTCCCCGGCGAGCCCGCCCCGCCCCGGCGGCACACGCGCCCGGCCCCTCGCCCGAGCCGGCGCCGGGCGGCGGGACAGGGCGGGCA